TGGTGTAGGTTCCTCAGGAAACTCATTTTTTTTGGCAGATTTGTTGCCCCATATCTGATCCAAGATTCGGAGAGAAGTCAGGGAAGACACAGAGTACCTGCCCAAATCTTCTTCTTTGTCCCCACCTTAAACCTAGAGGAAAATCTTTGCACACGTCATGAGGCACCATCCTTGTGCTTTAGACAAAGAAGACTTGCTACCCTGGGACCTAAGAGCTAGAAAGCCTGAAAGCTGAGCCATTTGGATGATTCTTCAGAGGAAATCAGCTGGGAACTGCCATCAGAAGGGCTTCCCTTTTTGTATAGCCTCTGGATAAAGGAAAAATCTGACACAAAATACACAGGAGAACTGGTCTTATGAAGTGTTCATAAAAGGAAAAGATAACTCTTCAAATGATTTAATGAGAGATTTCCATCTATTCCTTTATTCAACAAAATATATTTAATGATTACTATGTGCCAGGCACCAGGAATAATGAACAAGGCACAGACCCCATTCTCAAGTAGCTCACAATATGATGGGAGATGGAGGGAACAGAGACTTCATAATATGGTATGATAACTACTATGACAGAGATAAATATATAGGAAGAGCACATTAGCTTCAAGGATGCTGAGCACAAGTTAACTAACCAAATGAGGAAATCCAAAGGAAAGGAAAGAGGGACATAGTCCTGATGCAAGGGGTGTTGAGCTAGGAGAGTGGCCCTGGAGTGGGAAAGGCTGCTCAGGAGGTGCTGGGTGAGGGGGCTGGGAGCCCTCCTTTGTTGCCCGGGGGGGTATGTGGGGTCAGAGTCCACATCTGCCAACACTAGGGCTTTATATCACCTGCACCTCAGGAAATTGGTATTTCTCTTCATTTAGACAAAGCCTCCTATAGTAGGAGCAAAGCCCACCCATACCAAGTCCATATGTGTCTTCACTCTGCCACTTTCTAGCTATCCTGGAGAGTGCCTCCCTGCAGTGCCAACCTGGGTGACTGTAAGGTTAAAAAAAAAGACACCTAGACAGGGTGGGGGATCATATTAGTAGTCACACTTCCGTACAATCATTTCTTGAGTGGCCGAATGGCCTCACTTCATTATAGTGATGAGCCACACATCATTGAACTAGTTTCCCTATTGCTGGACAATTGGGTTGCTCATTATTAATGATGTGGTAATGAACATCAGTTAAATAAGTTTTGAGCTGTAGTTTATGTGATGTATTCAGATTAACCACCTGAAGGATCTTTACTTTTCATCAACCTTTAAAAATCTACCTTAACTTCATTATAATTTATACCAAAACAAGCAACGAATCCCTCCTCTGTCTTGTTTCTCAGAGGTCTGACTTTATCTCACTGTTCAGAGGAAGCAAATAGTTTGATTGCTCATTACAGTAACTTCCCAAAGACCCATCAGCTCGTCAATGAGAAACATCAGTAGACAGAGTTCCCCAAGGTTCTTTGATTCTCTCTCCTCAAAACCTTCACCTTGCTGTCCCCACCAACCCTGGATTATTGCAGAGCGGTTCTTACCCAATCCTAATCAAGTATCAGACCCCTCCTCATCTCCACTGAAAGACCCGCCTTAAACCAAACTTCCATTCTCAATAAATTCTGAATTTATCTTCCCTTTTCTGAGGCGTTGCCAAAGACTTTCGCGGCAGTGGTCTCCTTCATGGCGGTACGCAATACGCTCAGCTTTGTCTTAGGAACAGGGTGCATTGGTGATATTTGGGGAGCCAGCTTTGCCAAGGTCTACATTGCATGCTGATATGCTCAAGCCGCCCTTTGGAAAGGTTGTACTAACTGGTATTCCCACCAACACTGCACAGGTGTACCCATCTTCCCATGTCTCACCAATACAGTGTTTTTCCACTGTCTTTCACATTTGCTAATTTGAGAGGCAAAAGAACAAAATCCTCACTGTTATTTGCACTTCTTTAACATTTGTTGAGTGGTCCAGACATTGTGAACTCTGAAATCAGTTTGGATCCTCTTCCCACAGCAAGGGTTAAACTTGGCTCTGTGCGTTAGACTCCATGTCTGTGAACCGGGGGGTGTTAGTCTGAGTTCTCCAGAGAAACAGCACCGATAAGACATATATTTTTTTCAGAGAGAGATATATTTTTCAAAGGCAGAGCAATATTATTGTCAATTGACTTACAAAAAGGAATTGGCTCACGTGATTATGGAGCTTAGAACTCCCAAGATTGGCAGTTGGCAAGCTGGAGACTCAGGAGAGCCGATGGTGTAGATACCAGCCCAAGCTCCGGTCTGAGTCCGAATCCGAAGGCAGGAGAAGACCGATGTCTCAGCTCGATGTGCCCAATCGGGCAGATAGAGAGGATGCTTTCTCACTTAGCCTTTATTGTATTCAGGCCTTGGAGGGACTGGTTGAAGCCCACCCACATTGGGGAAGTGATCTGCTTTACTCAGTCCACCAATTCAAATGTTAATATCATCCAGAAACACCCTCACGGTCATATCAGAAATAATTTTTAGCCAAATATCTGGGCACCCCATGGCCCAGTGAAGTTGACACATAAAATTAACCATCACATGGGAATAATAATTGTCCCTACTAAAGAAAGGGTTGCTCTGGAAATTAAACAACACAAGTAAAGTGCTTCAAATGGTGCCTGGCACATAGTAGGCACCCAAGAAAATATTTAAGAAATGAAATTCATCTGGGAAAGTCATTTTGTATCAGAAGAAGATTCTATCACAAATGTTGGGTTTAGCTTTAAACTCTTGAAAGATCTTTATTTCACCATTTTGGAATTGCTTTAATGGCATGAGTGTTTGACAATGGCTTCATTAATCAACCAGTTCTAGACCTTTGCTAAGAGGGCAGATGTGACTTAATCCCAGAAGAAGGTCAACGTCTGAGCAGGGAAGGCGCCCACAGTCAGTGGGGTGCACCCTAGATGCATGGCTGGGTGTGGCTTCCCGCCCCACTGGGAAATGGGGAATCTGTTTGAGGGTTGATTTATCACCCAACTGTTCTAGTTAAAAACTCAAATGGCGATTTTCTTCTAAATGCAAATCATAGGCCCATTCATTAACTGAATTAATTTGAATGACAACACTGTAGAGAAGAAAATGAGGACTCTGAATTTTCATCACAGACCAGGCATCTATTTCTTTTTCCTTTTTTATTTTATTGAGGTCACATTGGTTTATAACATTGTGTAAATTTCAGGTGTACATTATTATATTTTAGCTTCCATATAGACTGCATCGTGCTCACGAGCAATAGTCTAGTTTTTAGCTGTTATCATACTCATGTGCCCCTTTACCCCTTTTGCCCTGCCTCTACCCCCTTCCTCTCTGGTAACCACCAATCTGTTCTCCTTATCTATGTGTTTGTTTGTTTATCTTCCACATATGAGTGAAATCATACAGTATTTGTCTTTCTCTGTCTGACTTATTTCGCCTAGCATCATACCCTCAAGTTATTCATGTTGTTGCAAATGGCACAATTTTGTCTTTTTTTATGACTGAATAGTACTCCATTGTGTGTGTGTGAATCCACATCTTTCTTTATCCATTCATCCATTGATGGGCACTTGGGTTGCTTCCAAGTTTTGTAGGCCTCTATTTCTTAAAGAAAACACAAGGAGGAAGGGGAGGAAAAGAGAGCGCCAAGCCAGGCAGGATCCCTGAGGATGACTCAATGGCTCTTAGTTCCAAGAACATAAAATGACAGCACCAACTTCTCCAAAATGGCCTATACTTCTTCAGGAATGGTCTGAGACACGGGTATTCATACATGTATAGCCTTGGAACTAGAAAAGATATTTGAGCTCTCAATCCTCTGTTAAAACCCATCCAGTGACTCGCAGTATCCCTTCCCCTGGATTGAAATTCAAAGTTCTGAAAAAGGCTTCCACCACCCACCAGATCTGGCCTGCTCCCATCTTTGTCCCCTCCCAGGTTTTGGGAAGAAATCTCACATCTGTCATATTCCCAACAACCTCAAGAGCTCTCTGCCTGGGGACGTGGCAGGAGGTTGCTGAGACTGTCTTCTGTCTCCATGCCAAATGACACTCTTTCTGCTCTATGACACCCTTCAGGTGACACCCACTTGCTTTCTCAGAGAAGAAGGACATCATTTCAGTTATTTTAAAGAGGAGAAGAATTTTAAGTGGAGCACCTATGGGTATTTTATTATCATTTTACTTATTAATTAATGGATTCAAGATTTTTAACAGTATTACTAAGCCCTGATCTCATTCTCTCATATCAGCGCTCAGACTAGGCTGAATCACAGGGGGACACCCTCAAGCATTTATTTTGAATAATGAGACTATTCAATGAGGGAAAGGAGAAAATTAGAGACCATAAGAGAGTAAGTGGAAGTTCAGGAGGGAGAAGTTTGGGCGGGCATGAAGTTAAGAGGGTTTGTGGAAATCTAGGTGGGGACAACTCTTACCCCACCCCTACCCTCCACTCCTCCTTCCCTGGTGTGTCAGGGGTCCCAAGACAACCCCAGTTTTCATGTTTTGCCAGGAGGACTCATGACTCAGTATTTAGTCATCCTCATGGCTAAGCTTCATTACAGCAAAAAGGATATAAAGCAAAATCAGGAAAAGGACAACCGGACACGAGCTTCCCAGAGTCCTGTCTCTGTGGAGTCATAAGGACACACTCAACTCCCCAGCAACTAACTGTGACAACACGTACGACGTGATGCTACAGGGAAGCTCGTCAGAGACTCAGCGCCCAGGCTCTGTTCTGGGGCTGGTCCTGCAGGCACCCTCTGCCTAGCACACCCGAAAATTCCCGACTCCCAGAAGGAAAGCAGATGTGAAGCATAAACCACAGTGTCTGCACAGTTTAGGCCCAGTGAGCCATTCTGTCAGTTAGGGTGGTGGAGCCCTTCTGAAAGCCGAGACCCCAGAGGCCGACCTTGTGAGCAGGCCTTGCAAAGACGGAGGTCTCGGGCCTGCAATATTGACTCCTATATTGACTCCTTCTGGACACCTTTCTGGGTCTGCTCAGAAGCCCTGCAACACTATCCTCCACCAAGAGTCCCACTCAGAGGGGCTGAGGCCACTGTGGGGCCTCTCAGAAGATGGTAAACAAATCTGTGTGGCAAGTCCTACATTTGTATCCATATACATCTCAAGTGACCTTCTCTTCCTGGGGTGTCAGAGCTTCTGACAAGATTTCCTTGCCACACTTCACCCAACCCAGCCTCTGCCTGCCTCACTCGTCTTCGCCACACTCTGTGTGTCAGGTACACTAGCTGGGTGGGTTTAGTGTTCTGCCTGGCCTTTGGGTGTGAGTGTGGAAGCCTCCTGGCCACTCCCCACTCCAGAGGAGGAAGAGTTCATTCATCAGGTGTTTACTGGGTGTCTCAGGACACGTAAACGGGCCACAGAAACCACAGAGAGTGGGGTTGGGTACTGCCAATAGCCCCAGCAGGAAGGACCCTGATCTGAGAGTAAATCACTGCAAACCATTCCTAGAAGCACAAGGCAGGGGAGAGGAAGAGGCTCTGGGGCCTGGGTTCAGGTTCTGGCTCTGCTCTTTGCTAATTGTGGGGCCTCAGACTCCATGTTTGCAAAGTCAGGGCTGATAAGCTGCACATGATGCTTATTGGGAGGATTAAACGAGATACTCAACATAAAGTGCTAGTTCTCTTGCTTTTCGTCTTTCCTCGGTTCTAAAGGGCTCCAAATCATTCCCAGTTCTCTCAACAGCTAAATTCCACGTTAAAGGCATTAGCAGACAGCTCTGTAGTGTAAACAATAACCCTGCCTCACCCTCCCTGCAAGGATTATCGACCCAGATGAGGTCTGTTTGCTCAGCAGGAAAAGGCTCTGAATATAAAGGCTCCCACAGAAATCCCAGGGCCCCAGAAAGCTGGACTGAAAAAGTTTAAGTAAGCTGAAGTTGAGAGTTGTTCATAATCAACAAATATTTATTATACCTCTAGTCCTGGGATGGGTACAGTGGGGACCACAAGAGAAGTGGGGGACAAGAGCCGGTGGTCTTTGCTTGTGGGGAATCCGAGTTCCACCAAGAAGAGAAGCCTCAAACACTTGGGGCAACAAGACATGTGTACAGAATAGAATAAAATCGAAATCTTGGTTATAGGAAAACAGATTCTATCGGATGCTAGAGGAATAGTTAGGGAAGGGGCACAATGTTGGCTGGGCCTTTGTGGTCAGCAGGCTCTAAGAAGGCCCCTAATAGTCCCATCTCCCGGTATTCAAACCCTTGGTCATGCCCTCCCATGTGGGCTGGACTTAATGACTTGGTTCTAACAGACAGAATCCTGCAGAAGTAATGGGATGTCACTTCCGACATTAGGTTACAAAAAACCGTACTGTCCATCTTGGGTGTTTACTCTCGCTAGCTCACTCACCCTGAGGGAAGCCAGTTGCCATGTTATAAGATGCCCTAAGGAAAGGTTCACGTGGCGAGGAACGGAGGTAGGCCTCCTGCCAACAGCCTGCAAGGAACTGAACACTGCCAATGACCACACAAGTGAATTTGGGAGTGGTCCCCCCTAGTCAACATGAGACTGCAACCTTGGCTGACGGTTTTCAACCTTACGAGAGACTTTGAACCAGAGGCATCTACCTAAGCTGCATCTTGATTCCTGACTCACAGAAACTGTGAGATAATAAACGTTTGTTGTTTTGAGTTTTGGAGTGCTTGGTTATGCAACAATAAGCAACTAATATAGCTGAGAAGGATGCGTAGGATTGCAGGGGGCGAGGGTGTGGGAGGAAGGCAGGGTAGAGGGGGAGAGGGCCGGAGAGAGACAGGGAGGGAATGAATATGAATGAATTTCAAGCGAACACTTGGGTGAGAAAAACTACTGAGGAGTCCAGCTCCTGGTTAAAAACCCATGTGTGACTGTGTGATTTTTCAGGCCTGACCACAGGCAATTACTGAGGCTTTGCCCGGCAGCCTGGAGAGGCTGCCCTCCCCACAGCAAGCTCGTAGGCAGCCCGTGCATGGCGGTTTCTGGAGGGAGTGCAGTCAAGGACTCAGCCCCCTCGCTGGCCATGCTCTTCGCATATTTACACTCCTTGCCCAGAGGCACCTTCGTTCCCAGGTCTCTCCTTCTGAGGCCTTGGGCGGAGGTCCTCTTCAGGCGCCTGTCCCTGTCTCTGCTGGGCCCCTTGATGGGGAGGGGGTAGGGAGGAAACTGTGAAGACACTTTCCCTACTCTGACTCAGTACCCAGTACTTTTCCACTCCTAGCCCTTCCCCCTCACGCTCCCTCCACCTCAGGGTCCACAAAACCGAAGTCTCTTATTCAGCAGCTCCAACAGCTAGACAACCCGCACATCTACGCTGATCCACCTGAACATGGACTGGCGTGCAGTTCCAAGGGGGAATTGGAACAGGGGGAGGTGGCACCTTTTCCAGTATTAGACTCTTGCTTATACCATCACAGTAAGTGATTAATGGCTTAACTTTTTCATTTTAGGCTTGTTGCTTTCATCAGCTACTCCCACACCTGTCAGATCAGTGTTCTCTCTCCCAGCTCAGCTGAGCTCCTGGCAACTATCACAAAGGTACGGAGGGAGCAATGTTTGTGGCCTAAGCTGGACTCCAGCTGGAGAAAATGAGAAATAAGAGCTCCAGAAAAGCTCAGCCCATCACCGAAGATGAATTCCATAGGAGACCAAAGCTCCTGGATGGAAATGATGGATACAAAGTATGTTCCTTGTCATCTAATTGTCATCTTCACTAAGTCTTCACTTGTTTTTTAGGGCTTCCTCTACTTACAGACAGCAACCTCTGCCCTCTAGAGACCCTGTTGCCTGCTGACTTTGCTGTGCAAAATATGCTCCTTGGACCGGCAGTATCAGCATCACCTGGGAGCCTGTTAGGAATGCAGAATCTCAGGCTCCACTCAGACTTGCCCTAATCTGCGTGCTCACAAGATTCCCAGGCACATTACAGTTTGAGCAGCACCCGTCTAAGACAGGCCGACAGACTCACACACTTACAAACAAACAAAAATAAAGCCCTAAAAAGCTTCCATTAATATGAGAAAGTTGAGAATTGGGAACAACTAATTAACCAGTCATTCAACTTTTTAATTTATTAATTTTAAGAAAACATTAATTGAGCATCTGCAGTGGACATACAAAGCTGGAAAAAAACCGGCCTTGCCTCAAAAGAACTTATAGACAGAAGGACTGTCAGATATGTAAACAGCCAGAGAAAAAGAGACGTTATTGGTACAACTATGGAAGTATTTACAGGTACAGAGGGCCACAAAGCAGGAGACACAGCACTCCACAAAAAGGTGTGGAGGGCCAAGAAGAGCTTCAGTTGGGTCGTGTAACATGAGTAAGCGTTAACCAGGGCATGGAAGGACATTCCAGGCTGAGGTTTATAAACACTGGGCCCATTTGGCAAATAGCTTGGTGTGGCTGGAGAATGGGAGTGCAAGTCGGGTTTGGCAAAAAAAATGATGCTGAAGCAGGATACAGTGCAAACTTGTGAAGGAGGTATGTACCCATGTTAAGGAATTTGGATTTTCTCCTGTAGGCATCTGTGGACAACGTCTTAGGTTGCTTTTGCCTGTAAGTAACAAAAGAAGACCAATAAGTGGCTTAAATTATAAGGACATTTAATTTTCTCTTATAATAAGTAGAAAGCTTTAGGAACTCATCAATGTAGGGCTCTGGGTCAACTTCCCTCCACAATCACAATATGGGAGTCCAGGTCCCAGCATCATGGCTTCAACACACAAAATCCCAAAGCAAGAAAAAGGGACCTTCTCTCACTCTCGTCTTTTATATTAAGGAGGAACATGTTCCCCAGGATAGGTGAGGAAGAAATTTCCTCTGCCCTCTAGGTTCTTCTGGTTGGTCTAAGAATTAAATTGACATGAAACAGAATAACAGGAGGAAATCAAACCAAGTTTAATAACATGAGTGTATGGGAAAAACCCAGGAAAACTGAGTAACTTGCCAAAATGGCTGACACAACCACCTTAAATACCATCTTTAGCTAAAGACAAAAGAGGATATTGAAGGTAGTGGTTTGGGAGTCCAAAGGGAATTCACATGGAGATGGAAATGCAAAAGTTTGGTCAACAAATGTTTGCCACACCTTGTAGAGACAATGGGACACAGAGAGGACTTTGATCACACGGGCCCTGCTAGGCTCCTCCCTGTCTACCACGCCTAGTTCATATCACACTATAGTTATTTACGGTGATAGCTCCTTCCTGGTACAGGCCTTCTATCCTAAATTCTTCTAGGCAGCTGGGAGGAAGGTCAAAATTTCTTCCTCAGTCTTTTGTTCTTAAAAATAATCAAGCCAAAGAGACTCATTTTAGGGTGCCAAATTCTGCTCCCCTACACCAGAAACCCTCAGAAGTCTTCCCCACAAGTCCAGTTGGTCAGAACTGGGTCATATGTCAATGCCCTGCCTCAAGAGAATCTGGGAGGAGTGACTATTTGGCACTTTTAGCATCTTTCACAGGAGGCCCTGCTCTGCCAGCAAGGAAGAAATGCACCAGGAATGGCTGAGGAACAGGCAGCTAATAGTATACACCACTGATGGGTGTTAAGCAGGAGAACCACGTGATAAGATTTGCACATGGAACACAGCTCAGGTGGCAGCATGGAAGAAGGACTGGATGGGGAGATAAGACAGTAATAGCAAGATAGGTTGAAGACAGATCAGTGGGAGATGGTAGACCATTAGCGGCCCCTGGAGGAGCAAATTTCTCCATGCGTCCGAGTGAGACATCTCCTGGAACCCACAAAAATAGTAGAGGGGCACTTTCAGGGGCTGAGGTGCTACATGAGGGGATGACTTCTGTGTTACTACAATCCCCATAATACCATCTCAAGCTGCCAGCTGAAGAGGCCTGGGGAAATCAGGACTCCATAAGATACAGTGGAATTCATTTCTCTTAAAATTATGACAGTTAAAACTAAGTAGCTTTATGTTAGAAAACTCAAGAAGGCTTTCTTGGGGCCAATTGATGCAAATGTTTAAAAGGGTTTATAGAACCAGATTTCCAGAAAGCCTTTCAGCCACAAGCCATTCAACAACTATCATATGAACCGGTTACTTGGAAAGATTTTTTTAAAAGGCTAAGACATAAACCTCTGCCCTTTGAGAGCTTGTTCCTGGTTTGAGGGAGGAGACTTACATGCATAGATAGTGCAAGATAGTGTTCTGATTAGGGACTTGTTGTGATTGGAAGGGACTAAAGCCAATACAAAGAAAGCCACAGGGGACAGGAGATTGTGAAAATTCATGCCAGGCAAGGGAAGGAAATGAAGTGAAGCAGAGTGTCCGAGCACCAGAAATCACCAAGCACTGAGGCGCTCTCTCCCTGTCTCTGGGGAATGTGGTCGCTTCTGCCCATGTGTCTCTGTATTGATGCCATCCTTCTGCTTCTTTTAAAACTAGCCTTTTCTGCTTACTGTGTCTGCACAAGGCCCAACACGGCCACCCTAGAACCTGGATCTATGCAGTCCTCCAGCTCCAGCACCTACTGCCAACCAACCACAGTTTCAGGATTTGGAACCGGGCCACGTCATTGGCAGATGATCAGTGTGTGAATGGGGCTCCTCGGGTCAGGTGTCTCTCTCTGCTCTGATCAGCTGTACAGGGGGCTCAATCAGGGTAGGCAGAGAAGCGATACCGGATGTGCCTAACATAGCCAGCCAGGATTCAGCACGTGCTGAAATGGATACCCAGAAAGCCTAAGGAGCTCGGGGTGGAGAGTTTGTGGAGCATGTGAGGGGACAGAGGAGGAGTTTTTCTTATCATGAGACTCGGAAGTGGAAATACTACACTCTTTTTCACATTCTCTCTGTTTTGTGTATGTTTTTCCAACATGACAGAGTCAGACCCCAAAAGCAGGGACATGTAGAGCATCTGATTCTTCCCAGGGCCACAGAGGAGGAGCAGCAGGGTCACGGGGAACCACGTTTCTAAGGCCATATCTTCTGAGTGTTCAAGTCACTCCACCCCTCGGAACCTCATTCCGTCATCTAGAAAACAAGCGGCTTCACTAAATGACTTCTCAGGTTCCTTCCAGCTGTGTCATTCTGAGACTGTGGTGTTTTTCTTAAAGAGAGGGGCCGGAAAAATAAAGAACTGAGGAGCAAGTCTTTTCGTTGTAGAACGAGGGCATCATTACTCATTTGCTGTAGTACCATGTTGCGTCAGCATTAACCACCTTTCGTGTTTAGAAAATAATGTGGCACTAGAGGAAGTAAAATCTTAACTCTGAAGTGTAATTTAAAAAAAATGACCCAGAAGGAGAAGTCTGACCCCTGCTGCAGTATTTTCTGGTGGCAATGGAAGAAAAGATGCTGCAAAACCCTCTGTATGTGATATCTGGAATGATAACCCTCCGCGTCACCAGCTAGAAAAAGCTGAGGGCAGCTCCAGGGTCTGGAGCCTCAGAGAACTGTGGTTGATGAGGCTGAGTTGCTCCCAAGTGACTCTGAGGTTAACAAACGAACTGAGGACTGGAAGGATGGGATTGCAGTAAACTGATCACTGGAGGGTGAATGGAGGAGTAGTTATTACCATGGACCTCTGAACTTGCACTTGGACTCAATCTCTCAGCCTAAAGCACAAGCCCCCTGGCCACTTACCTAGAAGAAGGTTCCTGCCTTGGAGCTCTTGCAACCACTTGACATCCATCAGGGCCCAGCTGTCATTCACGACAAGCACACTGGACTCACTCACATGGGAGTAAATTAGCTTGACCTTTAGGAGAAAAGGGAAATATGTCACCTTCCTAACACAGGCAATAGGCAGATGGCCACAGTTATGAAGAATAACCCCACCGTACCGCTTTTCAAGGAGATAGAAAAGGGCCCTAAAAAAGAGCTGGGAATAAAAAATCGAGGTCAGAGGAAAGGCACACAGCATAAAGTTTAATTCCCATCAGCTTCCCATGATGCTCTCACAAGTACAATTTTCTCAGGATCTGAGTTCTCTCCTTTTCTTTTAACCTTTCTTGGACATCCAATTAGCTTAAAAAGAGAGCCAGGGTCTTTTGTCTCATTAAATTGGATTTGGCAATCCATCTCAACATCTCCCTTCCCTGGGAAGTACCTTTCCCTTCGATCCTTCCCTGTGTGCTCCCTCCTCCAAATTCTGCCTAACGAGACCATTCACCCCAGCTGGGCACCCCGCATCACATGCCCCACACCCTCCCCTACCCCGTCAAACCTTCACAAACGGGATGGGCAAGAATGCAGAATTAACAAGAATCCTTTGTTTCTTCCAGTATGACTTGCAGAACACAATACAGAGTTTTACAGCAAGTCATATTTCACTCTGGAACTCTGGAACTCTCTGTGAGGAGATTGGAGAGGACCAGGGCTGAGAGAACTCCTCTTCTGAGAGATGGTGACACCCCAGGCCCTGAATGACTCAGTCCTTCAGTCTTCCCATTGTCACTCCCTCCCCCATCCCACCCTGTCCTTCTCCACCTTCAGGAACCACCCCCCAGAACCTGCATCAGACCTGGCTCAGTGCAGATGGTCATTAACTGTGCAGATAAGTTCACATGAACCCGATGCTCTTGCAGGGCTTGGAGAAGCAGCTGCGGTAATTACAGTGGATTTCTGGAATGGAAACTAATGGTGCAGGTTCAGATCTAAAACGCTTTTGATTCTCTTCATCATTAAAAGGCCATTAGAGGTACAAAATATACATTACTGGACATCAAGTCTACATTGATGTAAAAAGAAATTAGGCTGATAATTGTTCCCAAGGCCATCATCTCCAGTGAGTGAGGGCACACGGCACCCTGTGCAGTTCTACAGAAGGGCTTTCATTGACCCTGATCAGTTCAGTTTAGACAATATTGATTAAGCAAGTTCTATGTGCCATCCTAATCAGACATCTACCTCTGTGACTGCCCTGATTTAAACTGTGACTTTCAAGGACCTGCACTCTGGTTCACACCCTGAGCCCCAGGAAAAAACTTGCAGGCCTTGAAAGACCACAAAAATTTGTGGCAACAGCAATGAAAGGGACCACATGACTTAGTGACCCCAGCAAGAGAGGCAAAACCACAATGTGTAAAATGATAAAATAGAGACTGCAGAACCATCTGATAGAGTGCTTTGCACGGAATAGGTATTCAATCAATATCAGTTTAATTAAGAAATTAACCAATGACCCAAAGGATTCTCTCTTTATAAGCTTCACGTAAGGAGAGGATTAGTCCATCCTTATTGGCTTAGATTCTAACTACCCCTCCCAAACCACCACCAAAGAGATTCTCATCCAGATTTACCATAGGCTAAGCCCTCCTCACTTCACCCAGTACGTCCACATTCCTAATCATCCGGCAGGGCCCAGCAGATCCAGCTACCACCCCCTCAAGTCACCACTGCACCCTGGCCTGGCTCCTCATTGTCACTACCCTACATTTGTCACCCAGGTGTGAGGTTAGGTGACAACACACAGTCCTATTTCCAGGTCCTCCAAGATGGTAAAGAGGATGAGGGAAATATTGAGGTGGGAGAGAGGGCCACTGCTTCTCCAGAAGAAAGACTGAGGGTGGGAGACAGTGCAGAAGTAAACAGTGGCGCAGAGAGAGGGGGAGCAGATTATCATATAATGGCACATAGCTTATCAGCTCTCACATCCTAGGCGAGAATATCTTCAGAGCATGCCAGACCCCATCACTGCCAAAAAAAGAAATAGGTAAAATGACTGTAAGCAGTACAGGTTTGAGCTGTAACCAATACAGGTCTCTCAGAGCCCTTCAGCCTCAGAAGCTGGGGCCAAGAAATGACCAGAGTGAATGAAGAGGGTGATGAGACCAGGGATAAGAGGTCATTCCTAAAGTGCTGGCCATCCTTGTATCTGGGGCCACCTTCAGAAGATATCGCTGGGTTTAATGTCCACCAACAGGGAACCAGTTAAATCAATGATGGTACAGCTACAGGTGTTTTAATATCTGTATATACTGATACGGAAAGATCACCAAGAAAGGAGTATAAATGCAAAGGGGTATAAACATAGTAAAATGTACCACCACTTGTGTAAACAAGGAGTGAGAGGAGTGCATAACTTTATGTCTTTGCTTCTACATGCATACATTCTCTCTAAAGGACATGGAAGAATCCAGCAACACTGGCTGCCTGTAGGAAAGGAAGGGAGTGGCTGGAGGTCTGAGGTAGGAGGGAGAATTTTCACTTTCATATCTTGAAAAGTTTGAATGTGAATATTGCTTATTCAAAATACAAAATAAAATCATGTTTAAATGAATGGGGAAGGGAACTATCATTTATTGAAAGTCTATCAGGAACTTTGCATACATTGTCTAAAATTTACTTCTCTCAATCCTATTGAATCCTACTTTTTATTTTTATGTAATTTTTAAACTTACAAAAGTAATACATATTCAATGCAGAAAATATGAGAAACTCATGCACATATGAAAAAAACCCAGCTATAATCCCAACTACCCTCAGAGATAACTACTGCTAAAATTTTGGTATAAAGCCTTTCAGTCACAGAGTTGTTTTTATAAAAATGGAATCACAGTCATCATACTGTTTTGCAACTTGCTTTTCTCACTTCTCACCATATTGTGAACATTTTCCCATGTCAACACTATTCTTCTACATGATAATTTT